GGAAGTCCTGAACCACTTAGTTATGAGTGCACGTTCCATGAAGTTATGTTTTCTTGCTTCCAGAAAATGAAAAAATAGAATTGTTTTAAGGTTATTTCAGGAACAACAATATATAGAATAGACATTGAGTTCATTTAAATACATGTTATGCTATTCTAGATCTATCAATACAATAAGCATGGACACTATTGCATACTCCCTTTAGGTCTTAGTTTTTATTGCATGCTCCCTTTAGATCTGGTATCATCATTAAAATTTGCTATATTTCTGATTCTGATGCAAACATCGTTGGAGAACCTCCCACCCATAAACAAGCATCAATAGATCCATCAAGGCATAGTGAATCTTATTTTGGAGATTATGTATAGAGGTATTAGAGTGAATACAGTCTGTTTTGTAGTTGAGTATGAATCCTTGCAGTTTTGTGCCTAATCTACAAAGTGAAATTTCTGATTTCAAAAGAAGGAAAACACACTGAGTCTTTTTATGCATAGGCAAGTTACATGGAAGCATGCTATACAGCCAGACCTTGGACTGTTTTTGCAATTATAGGCATTGTAGAAGGAAAGTCACGTTAGTCTATAGTTGCAAAAAAATCAGGAATTGGGTAGCACCTTTTCTGACACAAATTTTGTTAAAAGACACACTTTGTGAGTTGAAACTCACTTCATTAGGTGCATCAGGTGCAGTCCACAAAAGCTTATTATGCTTTTCAGTAACATTTGCTAATTGGAAAAGGCCTTCAAGACTTTCTGATTTATTGTAATTGTAGTAATAGGAGGAAATTAAACACTGAAATTTTGTAATTTCTCTTCTTTTTTATGTCAGCTTCAAAAAATAAAGTATCAAGTGGATTCAAGTAAAAAAGCTGTGATCCAAACATTGTTGGAGAACCTCCCACCCGTAAACAGGCATCAATGGTCCCATCAAAGCATAGTGTATCTTTTTTTGGAGGATATATATAGAGGTATTAGAGTGAAATACACTGTTTTGTACTTGAATGTGAAGCCTTGCAGTTTTGTGACTAATCTACCAAGAAGAGAAACAGTTTTATTATCTTGAAAAAAAAATGTGATTTTGACCTCTTTATCATTTGAAGATGTGATGTAAAATATCAGCATTAGATATAAATTAATATATGGGTAGTCCTCAACTTACGAACATAATTGAGCCCAAAATTCTTGTTGTTAAGCAAGACAGTTAAGTGAATTTTGCTCCATTTTATAATTTTTCTTGTCACAGTTGAATCACTGAAGTTACTAACCCCGTTGTTAAGTGAATCTGGCTTCCCCATTGATTTTGCTTGTCAAGGTCACATAAGGTGATCACATGACCTGGGACACTGCAGTTGTCATAAATATGAGCCAGTTGCCAAATGCCTGAATTTTTATTAAGTGACTGTGAGGATGCTGAAACAGTTATAAGTATGAAAAATGATCATAGGTCACTTTTTCAGTACCATTGTAACTTTGAACAATCACTAAATGAACTATTGTAAGTTGAGGATTACCTGTACTTATGCACGATGTTGGATGCAAGATAGTATTTTGGTTATCTATATGTACAGAGTAGTAAATCCAATTTTAATTTTCTCCGCTGAAAACTGTCTTTGCTTTTAGTGCTAAGTTGACTGAAAAATTAGAAAATAAGAAAAATGAAAATCAGTTTTCGATTTGTCATGCCTGTCCTTTACTACTTCCATTGTAACTATGTAAATTTTACGAAGAACAAGGAAAGCTGTAAATTCTAAAGTTTATAGTAATACTTATGTCCTAAATTCATACTATTAATTTGGGAGAATATTATTTAAAAAAAATAAAAGTGATAGTCTGTGATACTTCAATGTGCTATTAACATTCATTGAAGATAGATTATAATCAAACCAGGGATCACTTTAATAGTTAATAATAATTCTTTTAACAGTGCTTTTAAGCATTTGTATAAGAATTCCCTTTTGGGGCCAAAAGGGAAAACTTGCTTGAAAGAAGAAATAGGGGGTTTCTGATCAGATAATAGATATTAATTCTTAACAATGATGATGCTAAAATGACAAAACGTGTGTCATAGAGTTTATTTTGTCATTTTCCCTCACTTGTCCATGCTGCAGTTGCCTGTGGGGAAGATGCAGTCTGAGACTCCTTAAACTTTTAACATTTACTCAAGTAGTTCTGAGTAAACTTGTAGTTTAAAAGGGCAGAACGTAGGCACCAAAGTAGATTTTTAAAAATTGACAAGGGTTCTAGACTACTTGATTAAAAAAATGCATATATTTTGTCAGTAATGTATAATTCTTCCAACTTTGTTGTTCTTAATTCAAGTTTGACTTCAGATATCTTGGGAACGTGGCAATATCTACCTCACATATTATAGACTGAAATGAGAAAAGAAAAATTAATGAACATAGTATTATAAACTGAGAAATCAACTTGCATTTAAATTTTCTTAGCAGTTATAGACATACAGAAAAAATAATGCAGGTAATTTCTTTTTCCTGCAGAAAGATTTAGAAATTTCCTAGATGTTGAAATATAAATTCATAAATAAAAAACTTTAAAATCTGTTTACCATTGTTCTGGAAATGGCGTAAGTAAAATTATGCACTTCAAGGCTATTTTCTATGCTGTTAAGAATTTGGAAGTAGTACATTCTTGATTATTCTCTTAAGTGCTTGATCTCTGTAAGCAAAGTGTTGTATAGCTTTCATACTCAGTAATTTTTTTTGATTAATATAGAAGTACTGTGTTTTTTATAGCTAAGCAATCACTTGTAGTTCAAGGACTTTAACAAGGAAAGGGGTTTATAAAAGTAATAAACTGAAAACAAGGAGTAAGAGTAATATCTTATCCATATAAGGCAGGGGTGTCAAATTGCTGGCCCGTGGGCTGTTTGCATCATGCGGAGGCTGCATCCACCCCAGCTCTGGCAATGCGAAAAAGTCACAATATGTTGTGACAGGTCATGTGACACGGCGAATTTGACACCCATGATATACAGCAGTGATGGCGAACCTTTTAGAGACCGAGTGCCCAAAAATTGGCCCCGCCCCTGCTCCACCCCCCTGCCCTGCTCCCGCTCTGCCCCCCCCTCCCCTGCCCCACCTGCCCATAGGACCACTCACCACCTCCAGGGCCTGCTGCAGATCGCCCAGGCAGCCCAGCAGTGCTATGGTGGCCACACCCTCTGCCCGCGCCCTGCAGCATCAACTGCATGATGGGGTGTAAGGGCAGAGTCTTGTCTACGCTGCCTGGCTGCCATGTCCTTGGCTGCGCTGCTTTGTGTGGGCCGCGCTCGGGGGCGACTCTCCTTCAGAGGGCTGCTGGAGAGGGTCGCGGGAGGAGGCAAGGCTGGGGCAACGGCACGTGTGCCCACAGAGAGGGCTCCAAGTGCCACCTCTGGCACCAGTGCCATAGGTTCGCCACCACTGATATACGGTATTAACATTTTAAGAGGGAAAGAGGGTAAAGTTATTAGCTGGAAGGGCAACTAAAGTCTGTGAGGGGGAAAAATATCAATACTAGGGCTAGCCTATCTAGCGTACCACTACTTCAAGAAGTCTGCTCCTAAAGTTTGTGTGTCTATTAAAGTATTAGCATATTTTCAAGATGTGATGGAAACCTGAAAAAACAGGTTTCTTAATGAGCAGCAGTGTGGCACTCTGCTTGCATGTCAAAAATTTCCCAATAATTTTCAGAACATTTACAGAGTTCCTGGTACTACATGGTCATGGCAGTTTTCTTGGCAATACAGACATGTTTTTTAATTGCCTTCCAGCTTTTTTAAAAAAAATCCCAGCCTAACCTATAACGCAGGGATTTCCCAGGATCTCTAAGTATTGATCTGATCTGTTCCTGCTTAATAGTTTTTGAATTAAGTCCAAGTTGTCTAAGATGCCTATTTGCCTTTAATCACTTTCATTCTCATCAGAATCTGCAACAAACTATGATTGCCTAAATGATGATGCACAAATGATAATGTTAGGATAGAAACTGTCTTTATATACAGTACTTTTGTCTTGTAGGCTAATGCAAGTATATAAGCTGCAGTTTGCATCTTGATGCATTTTTTGGCACTTGTCCCCTAATTCTCAACTTCTTGGCTGCAGTAACATGAAAAAAATAACCTGAACCAACGAATAATTTTATCCTTAACTCTAGCTCAATGATTAGTATTTAAACTGATTGTAATTAAATCTTTAGTTCTCCTTTTGTAACAATTATAATTTTTGCATACAAGATAAATGCTGATTACTATTTGCCATTTCTGTTATGCAGATCAAATGCTCAATCTCTTAAGATTGGAAAAAACAAAATATAGATATAATGGGCTGAGTCATCTGTATGATGTCTAGTCCACTAGTTTTGAAAGTTGCTCAGCCATTCTCCACAATCCAAGATTCAATGGATGCGTTTGTGAAATCGTAAATAATTACCATTTTATTACTGAGAAAATATGATTAGGCTGGGATAATAGCTGCCATTTAGGTACAGAGAATAACTGCACTTTATAACATCTCTGGAAATATCTTAAGGTGCAATCTCATAATATTTTTCTGCATACAAATGCCAAACCTAAATATTTGCTCATGAGGGTCCTAAAGATTTGCTCTTCCTGCAACAAGAGCTGTGGAATTCAAATCACTAGAAGTAACAGAGAGCATCGTTACCAAGAATATTAATTTTTACTGAAACAATATTAGACACCAAACGTGTTTTCATTAATATTTCTATTCCTCCTTCCTCAATTATCAACTCTTCACACTCAAGTCTATTTCTTCCAAATGCCTTTGCTGCTTTAATGTACAAGCTTTCCAAAATAGTTTAGTGTGTTTCAGTTCACGTTCCGTAATTCAGAAAAGTGCTTTACAACTGTAAGTCAAAAATCTGCAATTTCAACGAACCAATGACTATATAATAAAGAAAAAAAAGAAAGGAACCGGCAAAATTACAGACGGAACTACAATACAGGGGACTTTGGGAAGCCGGTCGAGGAAGTGACGTATTAGCGTAGGGTCTGTGGTTTGCTAAGAGTAGGACCAGTCGGCCGAAAAAAAGGTACTGGGGAAAAGGAAGCGATGTTGCAGCGTGACAGTCTCGTTGGAGTAAAGTCCTGCTGTGGCGAATGGTTGATTGAGGCAGCTGGTAAGCGTTTTTGTTAGGCGTCTAGTAGTGATTGGCTGGATAACAAGCATTTATCCCGGTCTGACGTGGGGAAAATATTCAGGGTATATTGCCGTTGAACTGCAGATTGTGAGAGATGATCTTGAACTGCAGGGCAAGCGGGGAAATACATAGTTTACCCAGCGCCGGTTCTCCGCGACTCAAATGCTATGGAGAAGATTGCACGTAGGAAAGGATAGTGGCTAGGGAAGAGAGGCCTAAACGAGGCATTAATATTGTGAAGTCTAATGAATCTCTTAGGAGCGGCAAGCAGAAGGCAGAAGGTCGCCCTGTCTTCTCTCTGGCGATCGGTCTCTCTTCTCTCACTTTAGGAGATGGTTAAGCAGTTTCGGAGCGCATGTGCCCAAATCCCGATTCTTTTACATTCCTTTCCGTTTTTAAATCGAGGACCTCGACTCCCGTAATTCAATCGGCAGGTTTTAGACTCGCCACACCACTCGCGGGAAAAGAGCAAGCCAGTTAAAATTGCCTGAAGTGGGACTTTGAAAAGCGAAGATTCCGCCGCGTTAATAAAACTACTTAATAAAACTAATCAAGGAGAGAAGCAATCTAGAACTAAGGAGAAACTTCCTGACAGTGAGAACAATTAACCAGTGGAACAACTTGCCTCCAGAAGCAGTGAATGCTCCAACACTGGAAGTTTTTAAGAAGAGACTGGACAGCCATTTGTCCGAAATGGTATAGGGTTTCCTGCCTGAGCAGGGGGTTGGACTAGATGACCTTCAAGGTCCCTTCCAACTTTACTATTATTATTATTATTATTATTATTATTATTATTATTATTATTATTATTATACTTTCGAGCCCAGCTTGACTACTGATGGCTTCGCAGACATGTCAGTGTAGCGATTTTGGCAACAAGCTCGATAAAAGTTTATTTTTTGTTATATGACTATATTTTGTAAAGCAATATTTTAAATAAATAAGCTATCTACATATTTAACTCTGTTCAATCTAAAACAGTGTTTCTCAACCTTGACAATTTTAAGGCATGTGGACTTCAACTCCCAGAATTCCACAGCCAGCATAGCTGGCTGTGGAATTCTGGGAGTTGAAGTCCACATGCCTTAAAATTGTCAAGGTTGAGAAACACTGATCTAAAATACTTGATTGCCTGGTAGAAAAAGCTTTAGGTCAGTGATGGCGAACCTTTTAGAGACCGAGGGCCCAAACTGCAACCCAAAACCCACTTATGTATTGTTGGGTGCCGGGTGGGTGTGGCCAATTGGGTGGGCGAGGCCACACGCCTGCCATAGGTTCGCCACCACAGGGTTAGGGTTACATCACCATGAACTCAGAGAGCAAAATGGACATTGCCAACAAATTGGGAGTGCTTGGGTATGGTTAGAAAGGCTTTGACTTTTCTAGCCTGCCTTCTCTATGTTTCCTGGTAAAATACATGGGAAAATCCCACTAGAGGAGTGATGGCGAACCTTTTAAAGACCCAGTGCCCAAACTGCAACCCAAAACCCTCTTATTTATCACCGGGTGCCGGGTGGGCGTGGCCGCGGTGGTCATGGCACGGTGGGTGGGGCCAGGGCGGCGGGGGCCAGTCCCTCGCCATCTCCGGGGCACGGCATGTGTGCCCACAGAGAGGGTTCTGAGTGCCGCCTCTGGCACGCGTGCCATAGGTTCGCCACCACTGCTTTAGGTAATTACTTCCAACTACACTTTTTATATTCAGTTGGATAGCCTCCTCTTAAATCTCTAAAATAATTCTCAGGCAACTACTGGCATTCAGGTTAATTTATTTTGTCACTTAGAGTTTAGCTTCAGCATGGGCTTTTTACCTCCACACTGAAATAACAATCTTTAGAGGTAATAAAGTGGCTATTATATTGACTTCCATCCTGAGGACCTGTAAGTGCACTATTGAATCCATAGCTTCCCCCTCTTTCTGAAGCTACAGCCCTATCATTGAAAAAAAATCACTTTTCTACCTCATGATAAACTACATTGGGTTTTGTGCAGTGACTGATTCTTGTTCCTTCATCCAAGACTAAATTAAAGATCAGGTGTATTGGAGAAGCAGATTCAGAAAAGCTAGATTGTGTTTATATTGTATATCTGAAATGTCTTATATCCACCACAGATTAAAAATGTTGGGTTATCAGTCATTCATGCTATTACTGTAAATCCTTTTGTCTTGGATAATTTGCTGAAACTCAAATCTGCACAACTTTTGAAAGGAAGCTTTTATTTATATAAATATGAAAATGATTCATAAAAGTGACTTATGACCATTTTTCACACTTACCACTGTTGCAGCATCCCCATGGTACCTGATTGAAATTCAGACTGTAGGCAACTGGCTCATATTTATGATGGTTGCAATGTCCTGGGGTTATGTGATCATATTTTGGGACCTTCTGACAGAGTCAATGGGGAAGCCAGATTCACTTAACAACTGTATTACTAACATAACAACTGCAATGATTTACTTAACAACTGTGGCAAGAAAAAGATCTGATACCATTAGCCTGTTTTACAAAGTTGATCCCCATGGAAAAGCAATTCTAGTATGGGTGTTCAGGTTTGAGGATCTAGGTAAAAGTATGACTATTACATAGCAGTGGGGCTTCTGGTTAAAAAAATAAATCAAGACCTGATTATCATTTGTTGGTGTGTTTCTGGCAAGATTTTATTTTGCATCACTTTGATTCATCAGAATGTTCAGCATATGAAACAACAAAGATAAGATACTATATAGTTCATCTCTGTAACTTGTATCCTTTATTGTGTTAAGAAGCACAGCATTTGCAGTGTAAGTAATTTCTATTAGTTATTTTCTAGAATCTAGATGATATTTACTTGTGCTTTTTTCATGACATGAATAAATTTATTGAACGCACATTTCCTTCTCAACAGATTTCTTTGTTTATATAGTCTCTCCTTGTTTTTCCACAGTTCATGATTAAATTGAGTCAGTTACAGCATGTTTAAGGTTTATCCTTTAAAGCTATTTGATGGTATATTTGAAATTATAGTACAGTTCTATATAATGATTCAATGTTTAAAGATGCACAAAGTTAAAGTTGTGTTAAGGTTTAGTTTAAAACTATGCAAGTTGCTGTTTCACTTTTCAGTAAAATGAAAAATACAGTTTTGCTAATATGACTATTGTGTTCTCTGACCATTGGGTATTCAGGAGAATATTTATAGCTCAGAGTTGAAATGAGGAATCCTTGATGTTCTCTGAGCTTGGTTGTTTTCTTGTAGATGTTTCATCACCCAAACTAGGTAACATCATCAGTACTAGCACCTAGTTTGATTAATGAAACGTCTGTAAGAACACAACCAAGCTCAGAGAACATTGACTCCTTATTCAGGAATGATTAAAGACCTTTCTGTTTCTTTGCAATTTCTTTGGATAGATCATGTCCACCATATGAGTAATGTTCTTTTTAAGGATTTTTGGCATTTTGCTTTTTTCGGTTTTGTGAATGCAAGCAGAGCATCCTGCATCCAGCAGCTGTTTCCAAGATAGCAGATTGGTTAATGTTTTCTCTAGAAATAGATGCCATGGACAATAACAGTGTGGGAAGAATGGTATTGTGAAGTATCAGGATTTCTATTCCAGAATTTACTAATAAATTCTGGTATCTCATTTATGGGTTGCCCAAAATATTTTTATTGTTTTTTACTCCCAATCTAGTATCCTTAGCAAGCTTTCTCTTTTTCAGTGCCTTGGAAAGTTTGTTCCTGCAGCTATTAAGATATATCTTAGCACATTGTGATTTTTCTTATTTATGTTTTCTGGAATTATACTTAATTGGTTTCAGTTCATATTTTATTTTAAGGATTTTTTAAACAAATTGATTTATTATTTTCCAGTACTTTTCTGAGATTTTTTAAATATAACCATCACATGTGCTATCTATTGAAGAGATACTGAATGCGTTAAATATGTATTGACTAATGCCCTTTACCAGAGATATGTATATAGTACTATAGATACTAAAATCACAGCAGGAGTAAACAAATACAGTTCTTGCTTTACTGTAGTGAACTCATAGACTGAATATCCTGAATCCATTTTCGTAACTTGAATTGATTTTGGATATATATTGCCAAATTAGACATGAGTGACATTCAGATTGTCTCTGAGGCAGGTAAAGAAATGATTGGAGAGGAGTTTATGGCTAAAATTTGGAACATATTTACTTATTTTAATCCCAGCTTTATTGTCCTTATAAATAACTCAATATGGTAAACATATTTAATGCTCCTTTCTCCTCCTACTTTTCCCACTACAACAACAAACCTGTGAGGTGAGTTGGACTGAGAGAAAGTGACTGGTCCAAAGTCACCCAGCTGGGTTTTATGCCTAAGGCAGAACTAGAATTCACAGTCTCCTGATTTCTAGCCTGGTACCTTAATGCTAGACCAAACTGTCTTTTGTTCCTGATGTACTACTATTCACAGATATAATTATAATGAGACCTAACTGGATTGACACTATGTAACCATTGTCTGTTATGGTGTATGCTTTTATATGTTTTTAATTTGAATCATGTAACATTGTTATTTCTCTGTCACTATCTTTTTTCCTCCAATATAGGTTTTTAAGAATGGATTATTTTGTGGCTTGCACATTTCTCTTTACACTGATATTACCAAGAGGTATGACTACTGACACAGAGAAGAAAACCTCAGATTCGGGATTGGAAATCTGTATCCTTCTTCCAGTTTTGGGTCTTGGATTTGAAATTGGCCACCCCCGTATTTTATAGATTGACTAGGAGCAAGATGGAACTGCCTACTAAATTGGGACAATCTTGAGGTATCATGTTGGAATCCCTCTGGGTTCATTAGAGACTCTTTTGAAGGGCCCGGAGTGTTGCAGAATTCCAGGGTTGCTATAATGTGCAGTTTGACAAAGAATGATCTGGCTGTAACAAAAGAAAACATTAATGTCTTCCATACTCATATCCTACCCAATGTGTTCCAAAATGAAGACCATATCAAGTATGTGCTCATCCATGTATTTTGGAGCCACAATTATTTCTGACAATCCCATGATTGCCATAGAATCCATCAACACTGGAAAACTTGTCCCATCCCCCAGTCATGGAGGTTGAAGTCATCCCAAATTGAAAGTCTCGGGAACTCCAATACCAACCTGAGATGTGTTTCAGGTGCTCATGGGGGGCCCCTTCTGAGCAGCTAGGTAATCAGCACTTTAGCCCATTTCAACATGCAGGCACTCACAATCAATCATTTCTGGAGCAGTGCTACTTGTCACTTCAAGGTTCTCACAGATAGTCACAAAACAACTTTGGTTTTGATGTTGTGACTGTAGTAGGATTGGAAATCATCTGGAAAATGTCCAACATACCCATTTTTGTACAGCCCAGTCTCAGTAATATAAATCGGGTTCATGTGTTTGTCTCCCATCTTGTCATAGATGGGTGCAGTCTTATTCTGCATAGGTCTGGTATTTACCAATAAGACCTAAAGACAGAGGCACCTGATAATTCAATCACCTGAATTTGGGTGACTAGTATACTTCAAGTTGGATTTGTAGATTTCTGTTAGGATAGATAGTTAGATACTGTAGTTAAAATAAACAGCTACTTGGGGAAATGTTTATCTTTGAAGAAGTATAATTAAAGGCAAAAAGATAGTTTGGAGGATTATGCTATGTATTGTTATGTTGATGAGGTCATAGAACAAAATATGGGACTTCTGTATGGTACGCTTGACCAAGTCACAGATAAGAAATTGTTTGAAGTAAAGCGCAAAGACCAAATGAATGCACTGAAGAACCTGATTGAACTCAATGATGTCAACCAGCAGTACAAGATTATAGACATCATGCTCAAGGGTCTTTTCAAAGTAAGCCTTGCTTAACTGATCCTTATTTTTTTATTATAGCATATTTCTTGAATACTCCTAAAGCAGGATTAGGAAAATAATGGAAAGTATAGTCCCCATGTCATTAGCTAATTGGACTGTGAGCTAATTCAACGGGGAGGAAGCGCATTCACCATCCCACAAAGTAGATTGCTGAAAAATTAGCAGTGGCCATTCTCAGCAGTTCTCATTTATGATTTGGCAGCCAAGTGTTTGGGAAGAGAAGATGGTATCCTCGACCTATGACCACAATTTAGCCCAAAATTTCTGTTGCTAAGCAAGACAATTAAATGAATTTTGCCCCAGTTTATGACCTTTCTTGCCATAGATGTTAAGTGAATCACTGCATTTGTTAAATTAGTAACATGGTTGTTAAGAGAATCTGGCTTTCCCGTTGACTTTGCTTTTCAGAAGGTCAAAAAAGGTGATCATATGACCTCAAAACATTGCAATAGTCATAAATATACGCAAGTTGCCAAGCATCCAAATTTTGATCACGTGACCATGGGGATTCTGCAACGGTTGTAAATGAAAAAGGGTCATAAGTCACTTCTTTCAATGCCGTTGTAACTTCCCAAATGATGGTTGTAATTTCTTAGGCATAGGTTGGAGTTTACAGTAGTTACCTGTAAATGTTTTTATCAGCTACTTTTTCATGGGTTTTATCTTCATGGCAAAGGTTAATACAGGAGGACATTTTCAACAGCTATTTCAACAATATATCTTTGCTATATTCACTTAATTCTTTCCTATTTATACTATTTATACTAAGACCTATTTCTTAGTATAAAAATATAGCATCCTGATATGTTTTGGATAATGATTTTTTTGGTCGTGGTTGAAGAACTTTAGTCTTAATCTGGCAAAATGTATGTGGTACATGTACTTCAGATACTAGGGCAGCCTCTAACCTGATGCCCTTCAGATATCTTATAATACAGATTCCATATTTCCTACCCAGAGTATATTGAATTTGGGTTAGCTGGGTATTTTATTATTCTGCAAATTGTAATATTATTCTGCCATGGCACCTTTTCTAAATTCTCTAGCCCAGGGGTATCAAACTGCCGGCCCGCGGGCTGGACGCGTCATCGGGAAACCACGCCCACCCCATTGCCGGCAATGGTGAAAAAAGCTCTGATACGTTGCGCGATGTCACGTGACGTCGCGAGTTTGACATGTCTGCTCTAGCCTGTTAAAGTTACACCAGCTAGGTATCTTCATCCAATAGATTAGAAGAAAAGATTGGGCAAGAAGGATTTTAGGAGGGATTTGTTGGTACACATGTCCTTGTTGGGGCAGAATTGGCATAAATTGACATGAATTTCTGTTACGATGTGCAGGTTCTTGAAGATTCACGAGCAGTACTCATAGCAGCAGATGTTTCACCAGATGGGCCATTTTCTCATGATGAGAAGATCAAGGATGGTACAAACATTTTGCTTTCTAATCACAGTTTCTTTGTCCATTATCTTTTATCCATTAAATGTACAGCTTTGAGTTGTTAAGCAATACAGTTCTGACATATTGGCTACTCTTTCTTAGTCACTTCTGTTTTTGTGCATTGTTATTTATAATCGTCATAAGATCATCATAAGTTGTGAATAGAGCCACATGCATGATGTATGAAACTTGAAACAGACCAGAGTCTTGCTATTTTATTTTAGTATTTGAAGGGAAAATAATATTTGAGGGATGACATGATTGATACTTTGATTTTGGATTTCCTTAATTAAATATCCATTTAATTCCAGGTGTAGATATCAATAAATAGGTATCTAGGTATTCATATAGAAATGTCTGCATTAAAGAAGTTAACTTATGTTCTAAGGTAGAGATCAGTGCTCTTTTTTAAGCACTTAGGTAACATTTAAATTTCCAAATGCTGCACTTTATTAGTCTGGATTAATGATATGCCCTTATTTTTATGCTTAATCACTAATATAGATGAGAATTTTTACTCTTCTGTCTTCCCTTTCTTTCCCTTGATAAACATAGATTAGGAAAAATGTTTTATTTTAATTAATACTTAATGCAAAGCAATGGTTCAAGTGTGTTGAATAATTAAATTGTTCCCCAAAACCTGGAATTGGTCTGAGTTTTTCATTGTAACTCTTTTTTCTTAGCCTATTCCCATGTGGTGGAGAATACTGCTTTTTTTGGGGATGTAGTCCTACGTTTTCCCAAAATAGTGCATCACTACTTTGATCGCAATTCCAATTGGAACAACCTTATTCGCTGGGGGATCAGCTTCTGCAACCAGACAGGCGTATTTGATCAAGGTCCCCACTCACAAGTATTAGGATTGGTAAGACAGTATGCCTGCTTGGCACTTCCTCTCAGTTTGTTTAAACATTTAGAATTGGGTAGTAATTCATACAAATTGGGTTAAGTTTGAGGAAAAATATATTTGCTTGAAAAGTTTCAGGATGTTCATATAGAAAAAAAATGTGGAGGAACCTCATGAATCTGCACATAGTTAAGTGTTAATGTTAGATATAGGTATATTCTAATATGAATGATTGTAAGTTCTTAACAAATATTTTAAATAGTCTTTTATATGCTGTGTTTGTCTGTTCACTGCTCAGAGTTTCTTCTGATAGATGGGCAGTTATATAAGTTTGTTTAATAATAAATAAGTGATTGTATAGGCATTTTACATATTTTACTTAGATCAAACTTCCCCAATGTTTCCAGCTTTGCAGACCGGTGAGGGAGAGGAGAGGGGATGGTTCCGCGTGAGCGGCTTGCAAGCGTGTGTGTGCACACGCAGCTCCATTTGTATGAGTGGCATGCATGCATGCCTCTGGCTCACACAGATGGAGCACACAAGCATACACTCACCTGCTGCTTGCACAAGTGAGGATGCTCGCCGGCCATTTCTGTGGCCCGGTTGCAATCCCCTCACAGCACATAGTGAGCCGTGGCCCACAGGTTGGGGACCCCTGACTTAGATGACTGGTTTACTCAAAAGTTGCATACTTATTACCACAGATAATTTGCATTTTGTAGTATATATATAGACATATAGAAATGTACTGATACCATCTTAATAGCATATCTGCATGCTCTTGTATCCATTATTTTGGTCTTCTAATTTAGCACATGTGTACTTTCTAAGCTGGGAAGTTGAAAAAGCGGTCAGGACAAAGACTACAACCAACAACTTTGGTATTGTTATGCAAAACAATTTCTTGGATATGTCTATAAAAATCACCAGGAATTGAGCTTAATTAGAAGGAGACTGGTTTTTCTTCTTCACATTGTAATACACAATGTCTATTTAAAATCTTTATAATTTGCACAGCTGAGTTATGGTGGTTATAGAATTAATAGGTCAGCTCAGACATTCCATTCAAAAGTTGGTATCATGCAGGATGCTTTATTTTACTGCTTTGAGAGAATTTGCCTTTAAAATACCAAATGAGAAAAGTAGGAGATGTATTTTTATTTAATAATTAATTTAACTTTTATGAAGTCAAATGACTTTTATGGATTTGCCTATGGTGACCCTGGGGGGATTAAAATCACATAAAAACAAGTGCAAAAACATTGCTGGATTCTGAAGCAGATGATTTCTTCAAGGGCACATAGGAGCCAGGACTAAGAGGTTGACAAGAAGGAGGGATAATAATATACAATAGATTAGAATTATTTTAATATATTTTCTTCCACAGATGGCTCAAGAGCTAGGAATTAGTGAGAGATCTCCAGACTACCAGAATCCCTTTAAAGCAGACAATTCTGAAGTAAGAGTCCACCTTATCTATTATTCCTCTCTTTTTTCTCTCTGATTATTCACAATTTTCTTATGAAGGAAAGAATGGAGCACCACTTGCTTGATGGCAGTAGTACCCAATGATCAGGTGATAATTCCTAATCATTAAGTGTCATAATGACTTTTTTCTTGATCGCTTTAAATCAGAAACTTTCTCTGTGGTGATCCTATAAAGACAATCAAATGCATGTTTGCTTATATTATCTATAAGTAATATAGGTAATATATTAAGTAGCATAGATGATTGACCCCATACAGGTTCTGCTTCAGATATTAGTTTGTCACAAAAGTTGGCAATAATGGTATGGTCACCTTGGAAACACATCTAGAGCTGGTCAATTTAGCACATGGGAATGTATGGACTTCCCTTCAATATTGTTTTAAGCCACTTACTCATTTACTGCAGAGATATGCAGGATGGCTTTCCCATGCTGTCCCTTTCGGCATCCATTTTGTGGAAGGGGATACTATGACCTTGGAAATGGGAATTCTAATTAATCTTGTGGATTTGCTTTCCCTTTCTTATATAGAGTTCCAAATGTTTGGGGCAAAAGTACAGGGAGCCTGATCTTCTGGTTAATAACTAGCTATTATCTCCTGAAGATCACTGAAATGTCAGAGAGAAAAAGCTGGTGCCCCTAAAAGGAAGAGAGTTAGCAACCAAAAGTGTTATCCATATTTTTGATGCCAGAATCCCTAAACTCGTTGTATTTACTTTTTAGTTTTTCCCTGGTGCTAACACATTCCAGAAGGCTCTTCGGGAGGAAGAGAAGCGAAGAAAGAAAGAGGAGAAACGAAAGGAAATTCGCAAGGGGCCTCGCATCTCACGTTCACAGTCTGAGTTGTAATTCTAATGTCATTTGCCCTATTACTGAAACTTTGGGAGTTAAAACAACTGAAGAGGAATGCCCCTTTGTGACCTCAGGAAAATGACAAGCTGTTGAAAGGGCAGGGCTTAGAAGTGATGTTCTTTCAACAGGACATTGGCATCTACTAAATATCTAGATAGAGACCACGAGGTTTCAGTGCATATTTCCTTATGGGAAGAAAGACTTTTCCAAGTATCTGGAATGTATAGAATATGTCAGGGACTGTTCTTCATGTGTATTTTTTATCTCTCGTGGCTTTGCCAGTTTGTAATGCTTTTAGGAAAATGGGGCAAGAAGAGAGGGAATTCTGTGGTATATGCCATGTCTGCCATTTATGACATGTAATACTATGTATCATTATGCAATCAGAAAAGTAATATATTATTGCTGCAAACTGCTGCTGATTTTGTTCCTAGGCAGCAAACAATTTCTTCGAGAAAGTTTTAAATTCTGTTAGAGATGCACAAACTTGGAAATATTAGAGATAAAGTACTCTTTGAACACTTATTCTTTAAATTGTATGAAATGTGACTGGGAGCTGGGATACATCAACATATATGGTTCCTTAAAATGTCATCATAATAATTCAGAGCCCCTGTAGTAATATTAAGTTTTATCTGGTTGTCAAGCTTTTTTCATTTCTTAAGGCTGTTAAAGTATTTTCTCCCAAAAGGGAAGAAAAGCTTTTGGTTGAGAAGACAGTCAATAATACCTTTACTCGAACAAGAGAATAAAGTACCAAGGTAAAGTGAATTTGTGTGATAATTTCATAATGCAGTATTACTACCACTACTTGAATGAAAATTACTGAAAAGCTTACAGAGTTCCAGTGTCAGTTTTAGTTACTACCTTGTGGTTTGCCAACACTACATTTGAATTTCATTTGTAGTACTGTAGGTGTAGATCTAGTTGTAAACCATGTACATTTACATTTATTGTTTGATAATCAACTTGATCTTGATTATTATAAGATACCTATTTGGCCTTAGGTATAAAAAAGCAAAGGCTAACCATATGGCTTTTGTTCTTTTTTGTTTGTTTATGCCACAAAAAATGACTAGCAGTAAGTTTTAACATATGGGCAGTGAAATTCTGGAAGCATATTTTTGCTACTCCTACTGCCTGATTGTTTCACAGGAAGAAGTCGCCTTTTTTCTCAACGTTTTCAAGTGTTCTATTGTAAACCATCCAGAGAGTGCTATAAAACACCATGGGGTTATATATAAGTCTAAGTGCTGTTGCTATTGTTATTCTATGAAGGCTTACATTTGAAGCAGAGTTCAGATTTCACCTTAACAGTTAATTTTACACTAGAAATCAGCTGATTTTTGGGTCAAAATATGATTAGCATTTTTCCCCAATCTGCAGTTCTTCATTGGTGAGTTAAACCAGGGCTTTTCAACCTTTTCACCCATTGTACCACTTTTAAGATATGGCAATATCCGATTACCACCAGTCGCCTAGCAAGGTGTCAAAAACTTGATGACCCCCCCCAAAAAGGAAAAAAAGTGATAAAGTACAGGTAGTCCTCGACTTACAACAGTTTGCTTAGTGACTGTTCGAAGTTACAATGGCACTGAAAAAAGTGCCCCCCAAGCCACAGCCAAACAAGACACCTGCCTGCCCGCCCGGCGGCGCTCTTCCTCCTGTCTGAGGTTGTTGTGAGCATTTCTGTTGAGGATTGGCGGTGGGGTGGGGGGTGTTTGGTTTTTATTCCCCCCGTCTGCTGGGTGGTTGCAGCAGGTTTTGGTCACTTCATATGACCCTGGGACACTGTGACCATCATAAATATGAATCAGTTGCCAAGCATCTGAATGTAAATCACAAGACCCTGGAGATGCTGCAACATTCCAGCTGATTGGTGCTTCTTCTGGGCTCAGCAGAAGCTCCAGGATCAGCACCGAGCTCCAGCTGGAGCTCGGTGCTGATCCTGGCGCTTCCGCTGAGCCCTGACAGCCCTGCAGCTCCAGCCATCTCTCGCTCAGGCTTGTGCGGTGCTGCCACCAGTTCAGCTCATTCCCCTCCCCCGCTACCACTTTTCTAGGATGGTCGCGTACCACCTGCCAGGTGCCACTGTACCACAGGTGGTACCCGTACCACTAGTTGAAAAGCCCTGAGTTAAACTATGGATTTGCACATAGCCACACACAATCAAGCTGTGTGCATTTGGCATGGAACATTTACAGCATTTTGCAGAATGGGTAGTTTTTGCTAAGGATTGAGGTTGAGTGAAACTAGGAGATCTCTCTGTAGATTAAGAGAACTGGAATATTGTAAACCCCACGCTTCTGGTGGCATTGCCTAAAAGGTGGTTTGCTCTTGGCAGGGGAGTATTTTGTGCAGAAGGAGGGTTTCAGGGGATACTGCATTTTGAGAAGGCTGGACATTTATTTTCTAAACAGAAAACCAGCTATGCTTGGTTTGGGGAAGGATATGTATTTAAATTGGAAATTAACTTTGCTTTTCTTGAATAAAACTGAAGTTTTAAAAAAACGCTTCAACATGTTGTTCTTGTGAGCTATTTCAGTATGTCACAGGAAGAGGAGAGGGATTTATCATTTTTAGGGTGGATAGTTTTTATATTCAGAAAAGGCTGTTTTAATATTAACTTAGCTGATGAGGTAACAACATTTTTTAATCAATTACATCTAAGTTTATAAAAGTTTTTTCTAATTGTCTTTGCAGTTGAAAACTGTTGCAGTTAGTAGCCGTGCTAATCATTTTTAATTTAGAAGCCTAAGAGCATACTTTCATCCACGTTTGCAAATTGTGGTTGAACCTAAGACTAGTATCAAGAGGGCCGTTCTTCAGATAGTTAGGTACCAAGTCATGTAGAACTTTAAAAGTATGAATATGTGTTTTAAATCAAACTTAGAATAGCAAGTGCAGCTCTTTCAGAATGAGCATAATGTGATTTCACATGGCAATATCAGTTAAAGTCCATGTAGATATACAAAACGCTAGATGGAGCTTGTGGACCTCCTTCAACAGTAGCTCAACATATATCACATCATAGTAGTCCAAATATAACCAGACAATTTCTTGCCAAGGAATAATAAATCTAATACCAGAAGCTGATGCCCAGGTTGCTCACTATTGTTCTATAATATAAGAGGCACTTGTGCTGCATGAACCAAGATTTTGGAATTTTATTATTGGGGGATATAGGCATCCTTTACAATCTCAATGGTTACAGCTATGAATTATGTGTTTATGTTTTAAAAATGACCTTAAATTGAGGATTTAATTAAAATAATTAGTTTTGATAGTTTTTCTTTACTGTTTATCTTCAACGACACTTGGACATGTTGCTTCAACAATATAAATTACCTGATTATCTTGAGAGCTGTTCTTTGTTGCCAAAATGTCAGTATACAACAAATGAAAGTATGATTTTTCAGTTTTTCCCATCCCCTAAATAATAGAATTATGAGGATTTTCTGCCCAATTTCTGGAAGGGCAAAATCATATTTCTTTTATTTAATTTTTGTGTTGTTTTTTGGTATTTCACAAAAATATAAAATTGGATCCAATTATTTAGGCCATGTAGTCTAACCCCATGTTCAGTGCAAAGATCCAAATTAAAGCACCTTCAACAAATGGCTGTGATTAAATACATCCAGTGAAGAGCCAATGGTCAATGAATGGTTACTATCGGACCAGGACCAGGGATATCCAAGTTAAAGTTCATCTTAATTCATGATACATTTTTCCTCCATTGATTTATCCAAACCCTTTTTAAAGCCATCCAGGTTAATGGCCATCACTACATTCTGTGGAAATGAATTGCACAGATTGGGAAATCTAGATATAGCACATTATTAAACTATACCATTAATCACAGAGTATCCCAAACATTATACAATTTTCTCACAGGAACTTGTTTAAGGCCTTGAATTATATACAAGATACAAGCTCAAACATAACTGATGAATAAAATGAGAAAAAAGTAAAATATTTTGGTGGTAATTTGAGAAATATGAATTGTATGATATTTCAAAATAATTATATTAAGACATGAAATAAAGATATGCTAAGATGGGAAAAAATTACAGTTTTTATGGTTGGGGAGAATCTGATTACCTAGAATGTTATTTTTGTCTCAAACATTGCCTGTTTTGACAATTAAGGCACTGTTAAAAATAGCAGAAAGATATATCTATGTTTATGTGGGAGGGTAAAAAAAACATGAGTTAAGTACAAGGTATTACAAGTTGCTAAAGAAAGAGGAGATTTGAAATTATATTTTGCAGCTTGTTTATAGTGTAGATGGAAGATTGGGTGATGCTGAGAAATAGAAGACTATTGAAGTTAGAAACACATGATTTGAGGTTTGGGTGGCATGATGATTTATGGTTTGATAAAGTTAATGTCAATTTTAAAAGTCAATTTGCCATATTAAGAATTGCAACATCCTCATCATCACTGATAATATGGAATAGCTATAAATCCAGGTTGTCTCTGAAAATACCTCGGTGGCTCTCACCATAAGCATATTATATAAGAGAAATGAAAACTAAATATAAATGGTTAACTTATGGTGACATATTAGAATTTTCTTAGGGAGATTTAAAAATAGTATCAATACCAGATTTCACATCAGAAGGATATACATGGCATGGCTTTGTTATCTACAATTATTAGATTTAAAGTAAATAAAAGGACTATTGGGTTTTGAACATTGTAAGACTGAATTGGAAACATAATTATGTACAAAGAACTAACATTTTTGCTAATGCATATAAATTTTTATTAAAATGTGAAACAGGAAGAAAGAATGTGCAATAAAATGGTGTAAAAACTTTGGCTATAACAGTGGGAGGATATATGTGTGAAAGAATTGAAATTCACATTGTTATAATCTTAAAGATATCTTAAGATAACTTTTATAAAATGAAATATTGTTGATACTTGTCTCTTGAAAAATTGTCTCAAATGTATAAAGATATTCAAATTTATACTGGAAGTATAGCCAATAAGAAGAGATTTTTTATTATGCTTGGTGGACATGTAAAAGCTGAAAAATTGGATTCAAATGCATAATTAATTCAGAAGATTTTAAAGATTAATATAAAGCTGACTAATTGACTAAAAGTTAGAAAAATCCCATGGAATTTTGTTTTTATATAATAACACCAGCAAGACTTTTATATGCTTAATGGCAGAAAGATCTGATATTACTCACAATGGAAGAGTGGATGGTAAAGATGATGGAGCTTGCTGAAATGTCAAAACTGACAGATTTAATTAGAGAAAAGATACTGATTAATTTTAATGCTGATTAGAAACCCCCCTTGGGCTTTTTGTGTGAAACAAAAATGCAATTATGATAAATATTTGATGATTAGAAAAAATAGATGATAAAAAAATTAAAGTTATGTTGCAATCTTAGAGTAAGCGGTCAATTTAAATTTATGCGTATAACTATTGTAAAATAAAGTCAAGTCATTTCTTCCCTCTTTGTTTTATATCTGCATTTTGGGTTTTATTTTCTCTTTCTCTACTTTTTTTGTTTTTTGTTTTCTAGTTATGA